GAACAATGTTAGTCTTTCATGAATAAGAATAACATTCAAAGTCCTAAAACACTGCAGAGGTAATGCATAGAGATATTTAAACATCATGAAGCGCTCCTTTCCAAATCCTTACTATTCCCTGTCTGGAGTCATTGCTGCTTCTTATTACAGCATTGACCCTGACCCTAAACAACAATACCATGTGGAATTTAATGCATGTATTAAGAGAAGAGCTTTGCAACTGCTACACAACAAGCCACTGTGTTAAAGGGCCAAAAAGTTCAGATACAATTCTGAACATGTCGACATAAAAAGAATAAACACTGAAAATGCAGAATAATATTAGTTGGGAGAACAAACACACTTTAAAAAGATGGAAGTTCTACTGTATAGTAAAATTGAAAAAATTGAAAAACAGTTATTTATGAAAGTGAAATCACCCCTAAAAATATGTTTTCTGTCATACATACTACACTGCGATTTAAATAGCACATAGCAGATTTTTGTGTCAACCGGAATGTTTTATTTAAGTGAGACAGAGGGCCAATATGTTATTTCTGACCACTACTCAACATACGTTATGCTGACAAAAGGGCACCTGCTGTAAGAGCCTAAGAGACTGACGCTGCTCCCCAGGTAGGGGGATACATATATATTTAGTAACACATTGCTTCCAAAAGAGATTTCAACAGGGAAAAAATGACTGCCTGTGCAAGGAGAGCAGAATACAGATATAGTCTATCTCAACAGGAATAATATATTTGTACACGCTCTCAGATTTGAAGATTAGTATGGACATTTTTTGGGGGGGGTTTAAAAAAAAACAAACAAGGATGTGCATTCATTCTATAATAAGAAAGAGAGTATTTTTTCTTTGAACACAGTGGGTTCCAGAAATATCACAACAATGGCCCTTTAAGGACAACTGTTCCATGGACCCCAGTAAATAACCTGAGAGTTAGTTGATAGGAGGGGAATTAGAGCCAGAGCAGGAGTGTGTAATGGGGATGGATAGGAGGCTCAGGCCTGGGTCAAAGCCGCTTAGGAATCAATGCAGGGGTACAGGTGTACAACCACAGGTCTATAAGAGTAAGAAAACCTTTAGAGAGAAAGGGGGGGGAGAGGGAGAGATGTAGAAATAGAGGGAAAATAAACTGAGATCATTCATTTCCATTATCACAATTAAAAACACCATTCAGGTTGGTACTGGTTTTTAATTTACAAAAGAGAGCAGAGAGAGGAAGACTAATGTTGTGAACCAAGCACAGTGATCACAACGGCAAGACAAACTGCATCACTGTCTCGCCTCCCAGCACTATTGCAATGGAGTCTCAAGGCTGGTCACAAACCAGACACTATGACATTTCATGCATAAATAAACTCATATGTGGTTTTCATGTTCACGTGCATTAAGAGCTAAATCAAAGCGCTAATATGTAAATTTGCTAATTAAATAATATCCCACCATTACTAATAAAAATGTCACATTTCCTGTGGAAGGAATAAGCACTGAAGAAAATGGAAATAGCCTTGACACTTGGATTAAAACACTATTGATGCCATTAAAATGCTAAGTGGGTCCAACCAATTGGCATAACCGCATTTCACTAGTGGAATGTCAAAGGAGCACACGAGTAGTAGCAATTACTATTAGAATACTGTTAATTATGGGAGCTGCATATTTAATATGTGCAAGAGTAAAACAAAGGTTATGTTAATATGGGTTTATTAAGCATTCACACTCTATAAAAATGTCTGAGTGTTGTAGCTATTTGATGCATTCTTGGGAGAAAAGCTGCTTTTTTCCAATGAACACATTTTCATTTACTAAATACATTGCAGAAAATCTTAAATGTGGATTATCTTTTTCATTATATAGTTTTTAAACAAAGGCAAAAGCCGGCACAAGTGAAGCACTTAATATGATAACGTTTTAATACCCCAACTGCAACATCATCATGGACCTCCTGTGCCCTCTTGTGGTGAAAACCATCTGCAATGTCCTCCATTCTCCCTATATAATTATTTCTTACCACCTTTTAATCGATAAAGAAAAATAAATTATTATCAGAACAATACATAATATTTCAGCTTTCTTTCAGAGGGTCTTTGGATGTTGACAGTACATTTTCACCTTTTCCCTTCTCAAACATTCTCCCGGTTAATGATGTAGTTAGTAATAGCAGCAATTTAAGAGAAGTTTACATTAGGCGCTTTCACACCGGAGTACTTTTCCCCGTACTTTTCCCCGTACTTTTCCCGTTTAGTTCCGATAGTTCCTGGGATTTTGCGTTCACACCAAAAAGAGAACTTAGTTCATGAGAACTTTTACCCCCTTTTTAGTGCCTGCTACTTTCCTGGGGAGAAAAAAGTTCCAATTTCTGATTGGCTGGGCGAATTGCAAACCACGCCCTGTAAAACTCTGAAAAGTTTTTTGAAGCCGCCATTGTATTTGCTGGCATTAGCATTATTAGCATTAGCCCCGCGCACCAACGGAGAGAGAATAACTTATGGCAACACAAAAAAAAACATTGGAGCGGTGGAGTGATGAGGAGGTGTCGGCGTTCTGGCGATTTACTCGGAAGGCTTCAGTAGAAGCTGCTGGGAGTCCCAAATTATTTAACTTTATTTTTAGTCCCAGTCCGCCCCTGCACAGAGCGGAGCTGAGCAGATCACACACACAAATATCATGCGCCTTGGTGACCGGACATCTCCTTCATAAAACTAATAAAAGGGGGAGTAATCGGGCAGTTCGATATGTTAGAGTGTGTGTGTGTGTGTGTGTGTGTGTGTGTGTGTGTGTGTAACCTGCCAATTACCTGATCAAGTTAGATGCTGCGTATCACAGTGCACTGAGATTTGTGACAAACTGTAAAGCATTAACCCATCACTGTACCCTGTATGCAAGGGCAGGTTTGCCTTCACTAACTGTACGGAGGCTCAGTCACTGGTACATTTTTATATACAAAGCCATGTTAGGGAAACTTCCATCCTACATCTGCTCCCTGATCTCACGGCGAATTGTAAGTGGCTACTGCCTGAGATCGCATGCTGTGGTTTTATTAAATGTGCCAACTGCTAGGACTGTCTTAGGGAAGATAGCATTTAGATGCGCAGCTCCTCTGTCTTGGAATTGTCTGCAAATTAAATGGAAACTGAGCAATCTGGTGCCACTAAATGTTTTTAAAGCTTGGTTGGATGCTACTCAATCGGATGCTGTTGGTACCTGTTCATGTGGATAGTTATTGTAAATTGTAATCCCTGTAATGATGCTGTATGATGTCCTTTTTGTTGTTCTGTTGTTTTATGTTTTTATGTTTCATGTGGAACCTACTTGAGCAGGTCTCCCTTGAAAAAGAGATCAATGATCTCAAGGGATTCACCTGGATAAATAAAGGTTACGAACGAAAAAGTCCCAGTCTGCCCCTGCACAGAGCGGAGCTGAGCAGATCACACACACAAATATCATGCGCCTTGGTGACCGGACATCTCCTTCATAAAACTAATAAAAGGGGGAGTAATCGGGCAGTTCGATTAAAATGAAGTCTGAGTACGAAATATGTCTCAAATAATGTATGCAATGTCATTTCCCCACGTAAACATAACAGTCTGCAATTAAACGGTTGTCTCCTGTGCGCTCCACTTCCTCCTTGGCGCACCGGTAACTTCAAACGTTCTCAAAAAAAAAAAAAAAGTCGGGATAACGGGTTAGAAACTTTCTCGTGCGCACGAGATACTAACCCGTTATCCCGACTTTTTTTTTCTCTGTTTTTTTCTTCTTTTTTTTCCATGTCCCTTTAGGGGCTCCGTAAAGATGAAACATCTCCACGACTTAATATTTTTCTACTTTTCTACAAAAGCTCTCTATGAGCAACCACAAGTTTCAAAATTCCTTGTAAGACTTTCCTCGCACCTTTGCTAATGATATTTTTGTACTGGGTCAATGTTTCACTTTTGTTTTGGTTATTAGTAACCATACTTACCTTTAACTTAACTTTCTTTTGGCTTTTGTTATTTAATTATGTTTCCTGGACGAAAAAATTATAATAGTTTATCTGCGTTAATGTACTGGGATTTCGACTTGTTGATCTTTTTTCTACGATGCATTCAAAAACTGTCTAAAAAATAAAACAGTCATCCTAGTTCATTTCAGTTGAGAAGTTTTTTAGAAACCATGAGCTTTAAAGATGTTTTAAAAAATCCGGTATATTTGTGCCTACACTGTTAATGTCAATAATGTTCTTTCTTACAGTAGAACAACTTCAAATCATACATCAAATAAGATTTTCTCAAGGACAATAATACTTGGATTTGGATCATTTCTATCTGATGAATCCTTGAATATGTATATAGATAAAGAGACAAATGGAAGTAGGAACATCAAGGTCGGGAAGGCATTTAAGTTCACAAGCTCAGTAAAGGTCCCCAGGCTGCCGTAAATCTATTGTACTACAGTGCTGCATCTCCTAATACACACACACAACAATTACACAATGCTTTGACTTTCCTTGGGACAAAGAATTTGAATATAAAGACAATTAACGATTTTATGTTTATTTGATTTCCCTCATGCTGTCATTATCTATCCCGAACAAAGCAGCAAGTCTGAACAAATGGCCACTACTTGTGCTAATTTAAACTAAAGGAAAGAGGAAATACATTTGTATCCAGGCCATTATATAGTGAGCAATGCATTTGCTGGCTACAAATGGACACCATTCATTACAGTTAACAATGACATCCAATTCTGCCCAGCTAATGAACTTCAATACAATCATGTTCGGTATTAAGGAGTGATTTGTTGAGTCTAAGTGTATCATTTTGGAGGCTAATGTTGATGAATGTCTGGGTGTGGAGAGATGGGACTTGCAGGGAGCAGAGAGGCTCTCGTCAAGTAACCCTTCTTCTACTGTGTGATACCACATCACCACCTAGTGGCATCATAATGGAAACACACGGATGATTTTTAGCCATAACAGAACATTAGTGAATTGGTAAAACGTATTAAGATTTTGACTCACCAATGCCAGAGTTGCCTCCGGTAATCAGGATGACCTTGTCTGAGAAATCGCGGCCCTGCAAGATCTCCAGAGCAGCAGTGTTTCCATCATACCGCTTTGGCTTCAACACCACATCCTCTACTGTAAAGGCCTGCCGCGGGTCGAAGTATGTGGTCCGCTTGTTAATGTGACTAAAATGACAGAGGAAAAGGTATGTTACAACGGAGACGTTATGCCAGATTTATGCAGTCTAGCTTATCCTGTGAGGCCTAACCCTAATCCAAAATAACTTGTTTCCTCTGTTGAACAAAAAGTCTACTTACTCAACATAAATAATCTGTCCTTTTTCATCCGTTTCTTGCTCCCAACCGTATGGTAAATCTGTGGGAAAAGACACAGTTATATACCAAACAACGTTTTCATGTAGCATTTAAAAACAGAGTTACTGAAAACAAGATACAGGAACAGATTAGATTAGATTCAACTTTATTGTACAACGAAATGCAGTTTGCATCCCACCAGAAAGTGCAATGAGTAATAAAGCGCATTAGTTTTCAATTGATTTACATAACAGAACAAATATAAGGTACAGGGTTTATACATATATAAATATATATAAATGTGCTCAGCTCAGCAGAACCTGTTGGTAGTTCCTCTGTGCAAGGAAAAAACCAGAGGTGACAGGGCTTACGCTGTTGCAGCTCCCAGACTGTGGAACAGCCTCCCAGTACAAATCCAGACTGCTCAGTCTATTGAACTTTTTAAATCTCAGCTAAAAACTCACCTATTTGCACTTGCTTTTAATACTAGTTGAGCATAACATTTTGATATTTGTATGTGTTTTTATATGTTTCTAGTTATTGTGCTTTTTATCTTGTTTTAAATTATTGTTTTATTATTTTACTCCTATTGTGTTATTTTATATGTGTTCCCTGTACAGCACTCTGGTCAACTGAGATTGTTTTAAATGTGCTATATAAATAAATAAATAAAGATTGAGATTGAAATAATAATACAAATAGCAGATACAGATGTTTGCATTATCAATAAGTCACAAGGAGTGCAATGTTCCTGATTGTGAGGCTCTGTGGGTTTGAGCCCCATGACATTCAAAGGGGAGTGGGGTGCTGAGTGTGAGAGTTCAGGAGGGTTATGGTGTTATGGGAAAAGTTGTTTCGAGACTATTTCATACAAAAATTATTTGAATATGTGTGCATATGCCTTGTATATAAAGCAGAACGGAATACCTTTAAGGACATGAAGAATAAGTCATTATAACAAACCTCCAGCACAACGTTTTTTCTTTCCTGTCTTGGGGTGTTCCCACTGTGTCTTCATCTCATCGTGGCTGTTGGTGCACAAAGACAAAATTATTAACCCAGCATTTTTCCAATTGTATTTCATAATTTCATTTCAATCTAATAAACACACATTGATGTGATAAATTGTGATAGTAATGTCCAATATCTAGCTGACTCATTGACATCTGCAGTATTTTGGTTTGCTGAAGACAAAGAAGCAAATGCACATTTACATTCAGGTGAATATAATATACAGCACAGATGAGCATAAATGAATAGAATTAAAAATGTGTCCTTAGTTACAAAGTACTAAGGATACTTTATGCATACATTTATAAAAGAAAAGGAATAGACAGGGTGGACGTCTAAAAAGGGATATACAGTACCAGTCAAAAGTTTGGACACACCTTCTCATTCAATGGTTTTTGTTGATTTAAAAATGTGTCTACTTTGTAGATTAATACTGAAGACATCAAAACTATGAAAGTACACATATGGAATTATGTAGTTAACAAAAAAGTGTTAAAAAATCCAGAATATGATTTTTATTTGAGATTCTTCAAAGTAGCCCCCTTTTGCCTTGATGACAGCTTTGCACACTCTTGGCTTCTCTCAGTCAGCTTCATGAGGTCGTCACTCGTCACCTGAAATGGTTTTGAATTAACACACGTGCCTTGTCAAGAGTCAATTTGTGGAATTACTTGCCTTCTTAATGTGTCTGAGAGCATCAGTTGTGTTATGCAGAGGTAGGGTTAGTGCACAATGGATAACTCTATTTGACTACTGTTGTAATCCATATTATGGCAAGAACCACTCAACTCAGTAAAGAGAAATGACCGTCCATCATCACTTTTAATAAATGAAGGCCAGTCGATCCGGAAAATGTCAAGAACTTTGAATGAATCTTCAAGTGCAGTCGCAAAAACCATCGAACGCTATGATGAGACTGGCTCTCATGAGGACCCCCCCCACGAAAGGAAGAGCAAGAGTTACCACATAATGGATAAATACATAAGAGTTACCAGCCTCAGAAACTGCAAGTTAACAGCACCTCAGATTAGAGCCCACATAAATTATCACAGAGCTCAAGTAGCAGACAAATCTCAACATCCACCGTTCAGAGGAGACTGCGAGAATCCGGCCTTCATGGTCCAATTGATGCAAAGATCCACTACTGAGGATGCACAACAAGAAGAAGATAGTTGTTTGGGCGAAGAAACACAAGAATTGGACATTAGACATTGGAAATCTGTACGTTGGTCTGATGAGTCCAAATTTGAGATTTTTGGTTCCAACCGCTGTGTCTTTGTGAGACGCAGAGAATAGCGGATGGTTTCTGCATGTGTGGTTCCCACCGTGAAGCATGGAGGAGGAAGTGGGATGGTGTGGGGGGGCTTTGCTGGTGACACTGTTGGTGATTTATTCAAAATTCAAGGCACACTTAACCAGCAAAATATAAATCACATTCTCGATTTTTTAACACTTTTTTGTTCACTAGATAATTCCATATGTGTTCTTTTATAGTTTTGATGTCTTCAGTATAAATCTTCAATGAAGAAAATATTTAAATAAATAAAACACTTCGAATGAGAAGGTGTGTCCAAACTTTTGACTGGTAGTAAGATGTATAAGTGAAGTTAATTTTAGGATGGACATATGACAGACTTTCCCTCCGGTAAATGAAATTCATGACCCATCAGTAATGAAAAAAAGGTTAGCCTCATACGGCATACTGAAATAGCACTGGTTTTGTGTCATTAAAACTGTGATTTATTGGTGGTCCCTAAGTGAAACCCTGAAGTAAAGGGCAAGGACTCGGATGGGATCCGCTTAAAATAACTTTACAACGTTGTTGTTGTTGTCATTGTTGTTGCAGCAATATCCACGTGTTTTGCTTCCATCACTGATGAGGATTTCAGGATCTCATAATCAAAGAATAAGTTTTCTATCACCTAACAACCTCCAAGCTACAGTAGCCTATGCGATACCAGAGTCAGCCTTATGAAGATCAAGACAGTTTATATGAAATATCTACCATTCGCAGAAAACCTACCAAGTCCTGAGCCCTGTGGAGTTTATAATCCATGCTAACAATTCAGATATCACAGCCCATCAAACAGGTGTAGCTAGCCAGCTGTGTTAGCCTCATGGTGATAACGCTGATATGATTACTTGGTCGGTGAACAGCACTAAAAGGACACTCGTGAAAACAGACATGTTCGTGTTGACAGGAAAAACGAGGATTTCCACTCACCTTGCATAGTAGACCCATCCATCTTTCGTGGATCTCTCTTCCCATCCGGGGGGTAACTCGTCCTCACTATCTGTATCGTCCATGCCTGCGTATTTTAGAGCTGCCATTACTCGACGTAAACGACGGCGCTATAACCACAAATCCAGTGAGAAATATCTGCTCTGAAAAAATAAATGCAACTGTCAGATTAGTAGAGAACACAGCGCTCCCCGGCACTTCCGCAACAACACGGTGACGCTGAGCGAACTGCCTTGTGGGTAATTGAGGCTGAAGAACGTTCTTTTAGTAGTTAACTCTCTTTACTATTGAAAAGATTTGACCGTACTAATTTCAATCAACGTTTTAAAAATACAATCAAGCCTATTTTTAAATAATAATCTCATGCATTATAACCTGGTTTAATGTTACAGAGGCCGTCTGAAAATCAGGACACAATAAACTCAACACCCAGAAATAATGACCATAACAAAGCTAAACTAGTCAGTAAACTCCCTTAAAATGGCTTACATTTGAAAATAAGTAAAGTTACGATACAAAGACAAAATATGTGTTCGACAAATCCATCCAATTCAATTTCATCTCTCCAATGACTAGCTTTTATTTGGGATTAGTGGCTTGCAATAACTGCATATTTGGCATGCTATGTTTCCTTATAAATTGTTTTATATTTACTTGTTGGTACAAGCTTTTGTTTGATAACTGGCTGTGTGACATCCTACTGGCCTGCACCTGCTCCCTAGCTTGTCGGCTCTTTTTTATGCAAAGCAGCCTTTTTTCCCATTGTTACTGCAACATTACCTTTCCTATAACTGGTTTAGTTACCTGTTGCTGGTGTCCTGTCTGTCTGCTGACTCTGTTATTAGGGAGCAGGGCAGCTGTAAAAAATGTAAATATACAAATAGCATGCTGATACCTTAAAACCCTTAGATGCCTAAGTGGGTCTTTTTGGACCTGGTGAGGTGGTTTTCTTGAAGTATCTTTGTAATTACATTTTTTTATCATTTCATATTCCAGCTATTCCTCAAAAAACATGTTTTGGATATCATGCCATTCTAATTTTAAATTTAGATTTTAAGAAATTGTAGTTTTTGTATTACTACCCCAAGCTTCCATAAGTGGGTCTTTTTGGACCCGGTGAGGTGGTTTTCTCGAAGTATCTTTGTAATTAAAAAATATATATCATTTCATATTCCAGCTATTCCTCAAAAAACATGTTTTGGATATCATGCCATTCACATTTTTAGTTTACATTTTAAGAAATTGTAGTTTTTGTATTAGTACCCCAAGCTTCCATAAGTGGGTCAAAGCTGACCCGCATGCATTTTCTATGGAATCTTATGGGAAAACGTTTTTTTTCAAAATGTAAAAGAAATTTCTAAAATTATAAATAGTGAAAAATTAAATATAAAATATTTCTAGTGTGAACCAAAATATAATACTAAATATTATACAAGAGATTTTTCTTAACCAAAATGACAAAAATGGCATAAAAACACATATTATTCTAATACGGGTCCTTTTAGACCCACTTATGGAAGAGTGTAGGGTCCAGTCACTCGTGCATCTAAGGGTTAAGCCAAGTTAATACAAACAAGTGTGACCTTCATATAAAATCTTCTTTGCAAACTACCTTTATTTAAATTAATCCTTGAATTAAGAATCAAGTAAGCTATTTTGCATTCATTTGAACTGAATTGTTTCAATACTATAAGCCTGATAAACCGCTGATGTTGTCCACTGTCAATCAAAACAAACACAAAATAAATTGACTGCCATATACATTTGGTCTAAGTATCTGAGGCCTTGTTAGAGCTTAGTCTGGCTGTAAACCAAAATGTTACAGCAGTGAATCTATGCACACACAAAGAGGCTTTATCCAGTCTCTGCTTTTAAGCTCTCTACTGGCCCCTAACACAGTATGAAGAGTGGCAACATTGTTAGGAAGCCTACTCAGAGAGAAGCTTCTTTGCACACATGGTCACTTTCTTCTGTTCCACTTGTGACTCTTGTGTTTGCAGTGTAGTGGTTTAACTACTGTACTTCTTTAATTGAGCAGTTTTCCTGGAATAAGAGACACATGCAATGTGCTGATCTTGAGGAATCTGCTTACAACTGGCACATGGTTTAGTATAATTGACTGAAAAGATGCCTCTTGGTTATTTCCTGCCTCTCTCTCCTGGAGCACAATTCAAGTTTCTGATGCACTAAACTAAAGCATGCAGATAATGCCTTTATCTATATGACTTCATTATGGCACAGTCACAAGAATGTGTGATGTTTCATTCTGTGCAAATGATGCAGAGCTTAAGATAATTTAACTGGAAAAACGCTACCCCAAACCTCGCAAGACAGTTTTGCACTCTCACTTACTGCCTAGCTGACAAAGCAGTCCACTCATGACTCAATCAGTTCAGTGCTCCCCATAAAACTCATTCTACACAGTGTCCTGTCACGTCCTCATCCAGCTGTCATGATGTGTCAGGGAGCTTGTTCGCAGAGACACAAAGACGTTGTTTGACAAAATAATCTTGACTCATGGTCCATTTTATATTTATTTTCTTCACAAGCTTTCAACTGCAAGGTCACAAATCTCTCCCTCTCAATGGGTGAAGTTCTGTAACTATCTATCTATCTATCTATCGATCGATCGATCGATCGATCAATCTATCTATATATCTATCTATCTATATATCTATCTATCTATCTATCTATCTATCTATCTATCTATCTATCTATCTATCTATCTATCTATCTATCTATCTATCTATCTATCTATCTATAAGCTCAGATAAGATTCACCTTTATTGATCTCTGTAGAGAGATCAATAAATTGTTGAACACATATGTGTTTAGTCTGTGTATCTTGTCAGTCAACAACTGCTTGAATAATCACAATAACAAAGGTAAAACACTGATCAGTTGAATGTAGGCCTATATATATCTATCTAGCTTGGAAACGCATAGCTTTATTTATTTCTAATAGAGAATAATGTTATTTCCTACATTTCTGAAGAGAGTTCTGAAGGTAGCCTACCTGTAATGGAGGATCGAATATTGCTTAGAAAAGGCTATAGACTTTTTTATAAATACAATGTTTGGATAGCCTGTGCTGGCCTGTGTGTATTTCTCCAATTCACAGAACTGATTAAAGCTTTTGTCATAACCGGTGCATCAGCCTCGTATTGAAATGATATAATTAGACTCAAGTGACCCATAACGGTTGGAACAAACCATGCAATGTAGCCTAATGACATTACTTTCCCCTGTGATGGTTCACTGTATCCCCGGCCACAGCGCATGCCCCTGGGCAGAGAGAGAGAGAGAGAAAGAGGGGAGGGGCTAGGAGGTGGGCCGACCAACTGTGGGCAAGTGTGTGTGTGTGTGTGTGTGTTTGTGTGTGTCTCAACGTAGCACGAAATGTGTCTCCTCGCAGCAAAGACGCACACATTAACGGGAGACGTGCTAGTTAACGGTTTTTTGATATTTAAAGTTTTGTTTTTGTCGTCTTAAAGCTTTGTCGATGTTATACTCTGTAAATTAAACATTCCGCTTGTTAAACGCAATATTTATTGGCCAGGAGCAGCCGACTTCGTTTCTCCTAAAGAGTGTCCGCTTCCCCTCCCCTCGATGAAGCGCTGCGATGCCCTCTGATTTTATATCCCTCCTTAGCTCGGATCTTGACCTCAATTCTCCTAAATCTCTATATTCAAAAGGTAAGCTTTTATTACTTAAACGTTACAATGAAGACAGTCATCTGTTTGGTGTGGTTTAATACGTATTATGAATGTCTTATGCGCATGTTAAGCTGCTAGCTAGCAGTGGTTAGCTTTTTTTCTGCTGTTAGCAAGCCTAGCTAGCTTAGTTACTTAGCTGCATTTGGCATGTGCATTGGCAATTACCTGGTTGGTTAGCTTTCCATGTCACATGCTTGGAAGATCATCATACACCAGATTACTCTTCTAATGATAACAGTGCCACGTTATATTCCATTGATGTGATTTAATGCATCAATGTTTATTGTGCTGATGGCTAGCATTATGTTAGGTACACACTATGCTCGATCACAGCTACGTGTGGTCCAGTCACTACATTGTTAAGTGGTTTAACGTGTAAAGTCTTACTGGGATTGTGCAAAGGTGTGTGTATGCATGTTTAAATCCCTAGAGAAGGACGAAATGTATAACATGCATGTTGTGTGTATCCTCCTTGTCTGATTTTGTTGGGTGACAGTCCCTCTGTTGTTTTGGTTTTTGTGTGGAATTGAGCCAGAGTTGTCCTCCTCACATTCTCTGGTTTCACAGAAAGAATGCAGTCACTGCCACTTTCAAGCTGAGGGCATGGCAGGCTGCCTGTCAGGATAAGGGGTGCTGCCACTGGTGCCACATTTAATCTATAATGGGCTTTGGATACATGCCAACTGTTGTGTTATTATTAGGTGGGTATTACTATATCCATAAGGAGCTAGACTCTCGTTGTGTTCAGCTTGGTTAGTGGATTTGTCCTGGCTTTCAGCAGCACTTTGTCTGCAGGTTAATTTCCTCCCTGTTAACAAGGGTATCAACTTCATTTGTAGGGAAAGTGACTGTGATTGTGGTACTCAACACTGGCATCGCCATCTATCATGTTATTGCTTATTCATGAGAAAGCCTTGTATGTTGTGTACTGAACCCTAAGTGGTAAACTGAGATGGATGGATTTATGCATTTTGATAGGACACAGTAGTGGACCCAAGGGGTTCCTGTTAGTTCACCACCTGGTCTTAGATGTTGTCCACATATTGATGGTTAATAGTGTTTATACCGATACAATCATTAGCTGCCTGCTGTTGGACCTGCTGTTCTCACATCTGTCTTTCTGCTATGTATAGGGTGCTCATGAGCTATCAGAAAGCACTGCTATGTGACCCTGAAATGCTCAGTTGAGCCTGCCATATGGTCACACTGTATCACATGATGACCGTTTATTTATATCTCAGCAATTGGGTGTGTGCTGGTCAAGGTAGCAGAAGTGCTCCTCAACGATCTAGTGAGAGACATCATGTATCAGACTGTGAGAGAGTGAAGGGACAGCTGGCAAAATTGTCTTTTGGCATGCCAGTAAACAGTAATACACATTTAGTTGGTCCCATTTGGGTTCAAAATGAGTCAAATGTGAAACCTCAAAAGTAAGAATCATAATGCATCTTAATGATACCTTTCCCCTCAGTATTGCCACATTTACTTTAGCAAGACTTAGTTATTGACATCCAACCTTAGGAGGAAGTATGGCTTATTATATTTACTTCGGATCTATTACCTCTACACAACTCACAGTATCTTGTTACTCTAGTCTAAAATATGCCATAATGAAGAAAATTTGTCCTTCTTGGACACTTACCAAAGGGTTACATATTTGATATCATCAATATTTATTTTGCTTCAACTTCAAGGAGAAACGTTATGTGATTTTACATGTTAATTTTAATGGCTAAAATATAATCTAATATGACACAGCTTGTATATTATCTAATTTTGGTCCACTTTTCAAGTGTTTTAATTTAGATGGAAGGATAATCCAGAAAGATTGTCTTAGTCAGTCTTGAAATAAGGAACTCTTACATCAACTTATCAGTGTGAGAACCATAAACTGTCGCAACAGTGTGTGGGATCAGAATTCACTGTGTTGAACTAATGTGGATATGTATTGCAGCTCTTTAGTTTTGGTCCAACCACAGAATGACAAAATAGTGTAGAATCAGAAAAAGCCATTTGCTGATTGTCATTTATTGTTTATTTTATGAGAACAAACCTACCATGTCTAGAATTCAGCATGTGATCCATGAAATTAGTTAATTTGTGTTTGGTTCTTCCGTTTTATTATTGTTCCTAAACTTAATGTATTAATTTCTGTGAATGGATCCATTCGGCTCATTTACTGTCAGTCGCCTGAGACGTATAAGAAGAAATTATCCTTTTGGAACATGCTGCCTCAAAAATTTGATTGACACCTCCATGACTGTTCATTATTTCACTGCACCTTTTGAAAACTTGTACAGTAGTTAAGTTCACGTTATAAATACCATTAAAGTTTGTGTTTTAGAAAGGTTAGATATATGTATAGCATTTCTTACTGTATCTTTGATTAATAAAGTGTCCAGCCATTCATTGCCAGTGCATTTCAAAGTCAACCGGGATGGTGTAAATAGCCCAAAAAAGGCATTCTTTGTGCTTTGAGTGCAGTGAGAAGCTCATTTTTCTGCACTATGACTTGTGCATTTTGTTACGAGTTCAAGAGAGTCATTAAAGGAGACATTATTCGGCACTGAGACATATTCTTGGTCTGAATATCTTTTTTCATTTTTAACCAAAACAATGCCCTCATGTATTGTCTATTCATCTGTCATCCCCCATCGTAGCCACAAGCCAGCTGCAAAGAATAAAAATTGAATGGTGACCTTGCTGTTTGGCAAACCTATATGGCATGTGTAATGTGAGCAGTGCATAACTTTGAGATGAGGTAATTTAATTGTTCTAAGTGTAGGGTTAACTTGGCCCGCCCCATAGCTGACTAGTATTTTGCTAGCTCCCTTTTTTTGGGCATATTTGGATGAGCTTGTCGAGCTTTGCACATACATTTTGTCATCTTACTTCTTATCACACCAAACCTCAATCCCAGAACATAGTCAGTGTCCCGTTTTCAATTGGTAGAAAAAGAAGGAAAGTTAAGCTTCATATTTCATTTCAACTAAGGTCTTTGAGTGAAGACAAGCATTTTATTATCTTTTGTAAAGAACCTTTTCTGAAGGGTTTCCTCTATCAATCAAACTTTTTGTTTTACAATGTTTACATGGTTCAAAGTAAAGCCATTTCTAAAGTAACCATAAATTCTTTTTTGTTTTGATCTGTACTGCAAGGATGCGTGGTAAATCAGAGGAAGCCCCTCATTCTATCCAGAAACAAAGCCACGCCACAGTGTATATATAAACACTGTTTTGCCTACTGCTCCCTCCTGGGCAGTCTGCTGCATGAGTGAATTCAAAACACTCAGCCAAGTCCAGACTGTGCTTTTACAAACCCATGGAACGCGAATGATTAAGTTTGTGTGTTTAAGATAAGTAGACTAAATATTCTATGTAACTACACTAAACTTATTACTGCTGATGAACAAATACACTCAATGTGTGGCAAGCAAATGCGGTTGATAAGCTCAGTGGAATCTCTGGGAGTTATTTTCACATTGAGGCTGTAAAATCTGTCATGTTTCACTCATTTGGGCAGGTTTCGCTTCAACTGGATTTCGAGAATGTATTAAAATGATAAAGTATGCAGGGAGGAAACATGTGCACGCAAAATCTATTGATTCATTAGAAATACGATCTCAATTGTAAGTTGTTTGCTCCTGTACCAAACAAGCAAGCACTCAAGGAGAGGGAGTGTCCCATTGAGACCTGCACAGTAACATAGTTTAACCAGTGTTGACTCCTTTCCCTCTGACCAATGCAATCATCCCACCTGGCTTCATGACCCTCCTCCTAAACTGGGCTGGTTGTTATAGGCGACTTCTGCATCTGCAGGCATAGTGTGGGTCTGTGAAAGGTGACCACCAAATGTGTTCATTATGTGAAAGCTCTGGTTGCATATGAATGGGCTCCAGGCAGGTTTAACACGCACTCAGTAGACTCGCATCATGCACACATCTCCAGTGTGAAAGGAGTAATAGTCAGAGCTGAGGTCATGTCGGTTTGCCAGTCAATCTGTAATGCATCCATGCACAAAGACTCTCTCTTCACACCACGAACAAAGCACAACAGACACAGATGGAGGGTTTTTGTGAGGGTCATGCATACTTTGCTGTTTACTTCAAGGCCACAATACATGTTATCTTAATGGCCACTGTCCAAGACACACAGGTTTATTGGAATATTTTTGCTCGTTATTCTATTTTAAAAGTTGTGAAAAAGCATTGTCAAGGTTTGTTTTGTAAACTACAGTACTGTAGCCCTTTGTGTGATTTTGTGTTGTCACTGCCTCAACAGCGTCGTTGACATCACAAGTGCGAGATCATGTGTCTTGTCAGTTTTACCGTTCTGCTGGTGCTAAGTCATGGCTGAGTATCAGGTGACTACTACACAAGCTGGGTGCCGCCGATGCACATCTTAAATATCCATGTCAGGGTGTTGATGGGCTGCTGTTTCTTAGCAACCAGACTGCTTAATCAAGTGTTTATCTGCCACCGAATGCAGTTTTTTCCACTGTAGCTGCAGTGGTTGGTTATACTCTTGTAGGAATCATTTTTCCATCAAATATTAAGGAATGTCTCTGTGGGTCTTATTACATTAAATTGCATGGGAGGCTAATTTAGTTTATCATAGGATAGACCGTGTTATGTAACTGTCTGAAGAAGTATCTTTTGTATAAATGGGAGAAAAAATAAAACTTGGATCATGAGACCCAGGTTTGCTTACAGTCCCATACAAGGAATGCTCTGGCCAACTTTTGAAAATAAACAACAAATCTCAGTGAGATATAGAAGTATTTTTGTTATGACCACCACAATTTCTGAGAACCAAATACATTACGTTTGACACAATTACATTTTTTCGGCAAAGATAAAGACTGTATTCAAAACGAGAAGTTGGGTGTTTTTGAATTGAGTTCAGGGCCGTCTGAATATTTGTGGAGCCAGTGGCCAGCTGCACTGGCTTCAATTTCTGGCCAATGATAAGTGGCCTACCTAATAATCTAGGCTCTGTGTTCAAGGGGTTTAACTTGTGTGCATACCATCTCAAGTTACTGACAGCAATAGCAGATAGTTCTATTTTTAAAAATTGTGAATTGATTTGCCATAAGGTTTGTGCATTTCAATGGCCTCCAATTTCTGATCCGGTTTATGTAGGGCTGGGAAAATCTTATATCATACTTTTATAGTCTTTTCATGAAATCATAAAGGTTTAATCATATTTTATAATGTATTGATGCACGGTAATGTTGCCTTTATTGATGATATCAAGCACGTATTAACTCAAATGCCTTAAAGAATCTGATGGGAAGTTTTTACAGTATTCTATTCACACAGAAATATACAAAAATAAAAAGCTTACCTTGTGGTAATGTCACTATTTGTTTTTTTAATTACCAGAAAACATGCGATGTTATATTTGTTGCAATCCTGATATAAATTAACCTATTTGTTTAATACAATTTTGGCCATATCACCCAGCGTTAGGCTTAAGGCAGAGCTTCTGAACTCTGAGCCAACAGAGACATTTGTGAAGAGTTGGCAACCTTTTTTAGTTACACGATCCTGTAACAAACTATTTAATATCTGTTTCAGAACCTAATGTATCTCTTCCTGCTCATTCTTTATCACAGAGTCGGTATATGACCTCCTCCCCAAAGAGCTCCAGCTCCAGCCGTCGTCCACCCAGACAGACCCACCCACCATGAGCCAACAAAGTGGGGGAGAGGCGGGACCTCCCCCCTCTGCAGCCGTGGCTTCAGGTGAGCTACCTGCTTAGTCCATGAAAACCATGATCCGGGGTCAGTTTCCCCTCGCCAAACTACCCCCAAGACAGAAGGGGGAGAAAGTAGAATGTCTTTTATCAGTTTCTGGGGGCAACTTCACCCTTTCACCAGTTTCTGACATAAAAACTGTTGTGCCTATTTAATATTATATGAGCTTGTATAGTTATATCTTAGCTACGGTATTTTAATACTGAAATAATTTCGATTTTTACTTTGGTATATTATGGCTTTCGTCTGATTCAAAATCCTACGGTGCTTCACATCAGGGGTCAGTGTTTACCGTGATTTGAAAGTGGGACTTTTTTTTTTCCATTTTATTTTAGGATTATTAATTTTTCTATTATAAAGCAAACCCCAATTAGTGCATTTTTTCTGTATAATATCTGAGTACCTTCTGTCTGTTGGCTTGTTTGACATGGGGCTGTTAGGTACTTTCTTATTATCCGAGCAGCATCCTTGAATTTGTGTTGGGGCTATTCAGCTCTGCAGCTCTTCACCTAACCAGTTCACTTTATAAAACTGGAAGGCTGAAAAGAAGATATATTTAAGAATCGCTAAATGTAGGTTAAAGTCCAACCTCCCTTATAATCTAACTAAACTATACCATCTAGTGGCAGTGACTATAAGCTATTCTCAATAGCTTCTAAGTAATGATAGTCATTCCTAATCCTCTCTTCCTGGAAAGCTTTGCTCTAAATAACAGCTCCAAGAAATGGCAAGTTCTCAATAACAGCATGCTAACATAGCTTGTTATTTTTTATTTCACCCTTTTCTTTAGCAGCACTTTCCCATTACATGCTTATGCTTTATTTTTTATTATCACTTTGCTTTTTAGACAGTTAAATACAGGTTTCCTAACTTGTAGAGATGCAGTGTAACCAGTAGTGTAAATCCTCTCCAGCATCCTTTTATGTTATGGTATTAGATTGTGTTCCAGAGTCTGGAGTTTAGCACTTCTGGATCAGTTTGTCTCTCTGAAGTTGTCAATATAGTTTTTATAAGTTTTGTTTTCATTAAGTGCCTGAAACAGCCTATGCACATTTGTTATTCACACACTGTCTTTAACACACTCATACAACAGTAGGTCATCGGATCATTTATTGAGGTCTCAAACTTTTGTTTGTAATCAGCTGATATTCTCAGTAAATATGAAGGTTCTCTCTCTTTATGAAACAGTGAAGTTGCCCCTAGCAATCATTGGACTGTCTTTTAAATTAATTTAGCAAAATATGGTCTGATCTTGGATCATGGTTCACGATGGCCAACATCAGCTAAAAGCTCTGAAGGAATTCAGTCTGGAGTTTTATCTTAAGAGCAAATGAACTGGTCTACAGTGTTTGAGAGAGCACTTTTGTTAACGCTACCTTTAACTACCCTGTCTGACTCAGCACTGCTTAGGGTCACTAAGCAGTGCTGATCAAAAGCATGACTACTGTTATGTTTGTCAGATTATCATTAACCTAATACTCGTGCTGTCTATAAATGATCAACTTCAAAAGTTACTCCTTCTTCAGTTTATGAATTCATCCAATTTACTGATTGACAGAAGTTGAATCTTGAATGATCAGCTCTCTTGTTGCTCATTGGCTGTCTCGTTTTTATTGCAGGAAGTTCCCTCTGAGGCAGGGAGTGTCTGCATATAAAATGGTCTGCAGTTCACTGCTCCATAGGTCAGAGGCTTGTTTATTCTGTCTCCATGGCTACGCTCAGTCCCAACCAAATCTTCCAATTGGCATGCGCAAACTACTGTTTACTACTGAATGCACATTGCACAAACTGTACTGTAACCCTGGCAACCCTGGCAAATTTAATTTGGCCTCATTACCAGCTTGCAAATTTGGCTGTACTAGAAGGTTTGACCAGATTTTTGTTCCGTTTCTTTCTGGCAATGTGTATGTAACAATTTGTAGCTTGCTTTTGTTTTTGTAAACAAAGCATGTCGGTTTTGTCACATTGATTTTAATTGAGAAAGGTTTCGTAGGAATCAAAACCTTGTGGGACCTAAAGTACCCTTCTCAAGTTCAGAATATTTGATCAATGCTTGACGGCTCTCGCATGCACAGTGAGAGCATATAACCCACTACAGACTGTTGAAATTAGAGTTGGGAAGAGGGGAAATCAATACAAATCATGCACAAATTCAGCTGCTTGAATGGGACTGCTAGCCTGCACTGCGCCGAACATCTCAACTAACTTATGTATCTGTATATACTACCACAGATGCCACCTATTCCACCTCGAGCCCCTTGGCCTCCTCCTCCCTGGCTATGGGAGCCCCGTCCTCTGGCTCCTCTACCTCCTCCTCAGACCATCTCAAGGCCCCCCAGCATCTCCACTCCACTGGAGAAGATGGAGCTGCAGAGATTCAAGGTATGGAGGGTGCTGTGTCGGCCCCCAGCAGAGGAGCAAACACTGCAGCAGGAGACATAGGGTCAGCAGTGTTGTCAGGGCCAGGAGTCCAGCAGCCTCAGAACACCCCGTCCAAACGGAGGCCTGTGTTGAACATATCCCCCCCGCCCGAGGACCTCTTTGACGACAGCCAGATGTCCTGCCAAGAGGAGCCTTCAGTGTCCGCTCCAACGGGTCCAGACTCGGAGCATAGCAGCAGCATGTGGGCCGACGACTCTGTCTCCAACTTCAGCTTGATCAGCTCCGTCTCCTACAACGACAACACAGAGGTGCCGCGCAAGTCTAGGAAACGCACCCCCCGCCAGCGGCCTGGGCCCAAACCTGCCCATCCAGAGGACAGCATGGACGTGTTCGATGCTGACAGCGCAAAGGCCCCTCACTTTGTCCTGTCCCAGCTGAGCACAGACAAAACCAGTCCCAGGTGGGATGACCCTTGCCCAATGCCCATTCTGTCCGCATGTTAACTCAGAGCTCCCATGTCCCTCTTTTGGAATACAGTTAAGGTCATTTAGTTTTGTTCTGTCTGGGATAATATCATTTCTTGGAGTCTTATTAATGTTATGTTACTTTTTGTTGCCTTGCAGCTCTCTTGAGTCAGGAACTGCAGTGAAGGGTGGGTCACTGTCTACTCAGTACCCCCAGAGGAGTGATGGGAAGGAGCTGAAGATCCTGGTGCAGCCAGAGACCCAGCACAGAGCTCGCTATCTGACCGAGGGCAGCAGAGGTTCTGTCAAAGACCGCACTCAGCAGGGATTCCCCACTGTCAAGGTGCAAAGAAGGCCACAGGAAACATCTTAACACCTATGTGGGAAGTGACTGAATAAGGCCAAAACTACACAGGACACAGTAGAAATCTCATGCCTGTTCAAACGCATCAGAAACATTAGCTAACCAACTAATACACATTAGCACATTTTTGTTTTGAGCTATTAAGCTTTATTTCACAATGGTAGCATTCTGTATTCTGGGTGGTACATAATTATCTTACAAATCAACACCAGACCTAATTTTCTGAAGGCTAATAACTTTAAACTAGATCATACCGTGGTGACTTTAGCTCTTACTTATGAATCTCTGCAGGAAAGTGCCCTTTATTCATCAATAAGGCACTTAACCCTCGACAGCTCCACTGGGGCTGCTTAGTGTCCCGCAGATTAAGCTGGTTGTGTTGAGCAGCGGTGGGATGTAGCAGCTCCAAAACTTAAATAATGTATCAGATGCACATTTGGAAAGGGCAAATAGAAACAAAACCCAGACATTAGCACTAAAGGGTTTTCTTTTTTCTCATGGGCACAAAACTAAAACTTTTTCAGTAGAAGCCAAATACTTGTAAATATGTAAATACTTGTTTACACTATATTTAGAGATCAAGGCTGTGATGATCATGTGGTTAGGAACATTATGAATGAAATGATAATCCTAGATAGAAACAACCCATAATCCCCTCTATGTGAGGGACTGAAAAAGTGTGTTGGCTGCCACTTTATCTCTATTATCATATGACATTAAGATGTGTGTTACACTTTATCTACGGCTGATTGTTATAAACCTCCTGGGCATTTTTTATCTTAACAACTAGATGGGAATTTTCCATGTTTGACCTGTGCACAGTGTAACACTAGGATTAACATCCCCACCCTGTTTAAAAGTTCTACCTCAAGATAGGATCTCTTGCAGAACCAAATATCAAGTCTATCTCTTGAAATGTCCTGAGGCTTATTATGTCTTCCTGCTTGAACATGTGTTTTTGTGTCCATAATAAACAAGAAGATATCTGCGAGTGCCAGTGTTTTGAGGGTCAATTAACAGTTATTTACACAAAATCTATTTTTGCTTTGTCCCCAGTTGGAAGGTGTGAATGAACCAGTTGTGCTGCAGGTGTTTGTAGCAAATGATGCCGGCAGAGTGAAGCCTCACGGTTTCTACCAGGCATGCAGAGTAACAGGGCGCAACACCACTGCCTGCAAGGAGGTGGACATTGAAGGAACCACTGTTATCGAGATCCCGCTGGAGCCCAGCAGTGATATGACACTCGCGTAAGGGGGGAATATTTTGTGGAAAAGTATCAGATAATACTTCACAGTGTTGATATTTGAGAAGTTCCTTGCGTGCTTCTCATGTATTCTTCAACCCGTGGTGTTTCTGCAGGGTGGACCGTGTAGGAATTTTGAAGTTGCGTAATGCAGACGTGGAGGCCCGTATCGGTTTGGCAGGGTCCAAGAAGAAGAGCACACGAGCCAGGCTGGCGTTCAGAGTCAACATCCCCCAACCTGATGGATCCGTCCTTACTCTACAGGTCACCTCTTCACCCATCCTCTGCAGTGAGTAGTGAAAGTACAATAAGAAATACAAAATGATCTCCTAAAAGCAACTCTTATCATTAGTCTGAAGCCAAAGATATAGGAACCACCAACAGGCTTCATGAGGTTAATTCAAAATAATGATTTGATGTGTTAAGCTTATGGACATGGAAACATCGTTCTCCTCAGATCATAGAGAACTTTCTGTCATTTCTTTTTCTTCAATCTTCCATAATGCTTTTTGTCAAACACTAGCTAATATGTCATGTCAGTTTTAATGATCAAACACTTCTGTCATTCTCCAGCCCAACCAGCAGGAGTGCCAGAGATCCTGAAGAAGAGTCTTCACAGCTGCTCAGCGAGAGGAGGAGATGAAGTCTTTATCATCGGAAAGAACTTCCTCAAAGGAACCAAAGTTATTTTTCAGGAGAATATTGCAGGTGCTGAAGCAAACTGGTTGTTCTTTTTGTATCTCTCATCTCTATGGATATTTTTCTGAACGTTAAACCTCTGATGGGCGTTAAAAGAAAAATATTTTTGTTTGTATTTGCAGATGATAATTCCTGGCAAGCTGAGGCTAAGATTGACATGGACCTTTTCCACCAGGTAAATGCAGCTAAATGACATTATACTCTGATGCTCACATTGACCATGCATAAGATTTGACTTCAAAGGTGATTGTTCTCATTGATGTCTTGTGTTTTCAGAACCATTTGATAGTGACAGTCCCTCCGTTCCAAAGCCAGTCAATCACTTCTCCCGTTTCTGTGGGAATCTACGTGATGACCAATGCTGGTAGATCACATGAGGCCCAGCCCTTCACCTACACTCCAGACTCAGGTACAGCCACTCGCTCAAGCTTATCCTAGTCCTATTTTCAGGATGATGTGAGCATTGTATTATACTGTTTGAACCTAAAGTTACCTGTATTGGTCGTATAAATCATTGTATGAATACAAGTTACAGCAAATATGTTTCTGTGAGAGGTTGCAAGCATTCATTAATGAGAAACTAATATCTATCCTGCGTTTCCTCCATCACCCACAGCTGATAACTCAGAAGCCCGGACAATAAAAACAGAGGGACCCTCTCTAGTCAGCACGTGTATATTTGATTGCCAGATCAAATCTATATCTCCTGAGCAAACTGACAGCTCTGTTCCTCCTTCCAAACGGCAAGAGGACACACCAATGGAAGTGTCTAGCAATCCAACTCCCACAGATGTCTTTAAGGTAAAGTACAATTCATTCTCAAGAAAGCATGACCAAAATATCTACTTCAGAATTGCAGACGGTAATATATTTTGTCCCCTCTTTTTTCTTAGCCATCCCCTGACCCTCTTGTCGTGGTGCAGCAGACACTGGAGCTCAGCTCTAACCCTCATCCAGGTGGAGAGTCCTTTCAGAGCCCAATGCCCCTACAACCGGAAGACGTGGAGCTCTCCCAGGTGCCCCCTGTCTTTCCTAGCCTTGAGTCTCTCAGCACCATACAGAAGCAAGACATTACTCCCACAACCTCGTTCCCAGTGCAGGGCGATACCACAATCCCCCCTGTAACACCAGAAGTCCCTCAGCAATTTCTCAGAGATCCTCAAGACAGCGTACCTCCTGAGAGTTCCAATAGTAGCGGAGGGGTTGTAGTCTTGGCCTTGTCCCAGATAGCGACTCCCTCTCAGCCCCAGCAGTCACAGGTACCCCTATTCCCCCAGGATGGGGTGACCCAGCTGGAGAGGGCAGTAAGGGAGCTACAGGCGGGAGGAAACACCACCTTCCAGCAAGTGTTGGAGGCGGCTGTAGCCCAGCAGCAGCTCAACTCTGTGCTGTACAGCCCCACCCCCTCTGCAGACACCCTCCAGCAGCACGTCCAGGAGAACATGAACAGCCTTAGATTGGGAAACACAGATAATACACTATCACCACAGCAACAGCTACAAATACAACAGCAACAGCAGATGCAACAACAACAACAGCAGATGCAACAGCAGCAGCAGATGCAACAGCAGATGCAACAGCAACAACAGATGCAACAACAACAACAACAGATACAACAGCAACAACAGATACAACAGCAGATGCAAATACAGCAACAGTTTCAACAGCATCCACACCTGCAGCAACATCAAATCATTGGTAACCTTCAGCAGCAAGGTCTTAGTAACATGCAGATCCAACAACAACAACAACAACAACAACTTATATTACAGCCACAAGACCAGCAGCAACTGCAGCAGCAGCAAATTATAGAGAATATTCAGCAGCAACAACATCTGCAGCAGAATCAGCAACAGCAAGTCCTCAACAGCATCCAACTTCAGGATCAGCAACAACAAAATCAAATACTTACCAATTTACAGCAACATCAGCTACAGCAGCAGCAACAACAACAACAGCAGCAGCAGCAAAATCAAGCATTGAGCAACTTGCAACAACAACTGCAGGAGCAGCAGGTGTTGGAGAATTTACAGCAGCACCTTCAGGCAGAGTTGCTTCAGCCCCAAATCCACTCCGCTCCCCAGGTCCAGCAGCCAGTGTCCCTGCTTCAACAGACTGGAGAGCTGCTCACCATTCAGACCAGCTTCCCAACACAGCCCCCCTCCCACACATCTCCCCCACAGCAGCTCTTTCAATCGCCGCGGCCCCTCGCTGAGACCCAGAGCTCCCAACAGCAGGTCCAGGCTGCCCTGCTCCAGAACACACTGACAGTTCTGACCAGTGGCAGTCTCAGCTCAGAGCAGCAGCCTACAGGGTCAACTTTGTACCTGTCTCCAAACCCTCAGCCCCAACAACAGCAACCACAGCTGACATTCATCTCCTCCATGGAGACCTCCAACAGCCAGCCCCAGTCTGTTGCAATGTTTCAGAACCAACCCCAAGCTCAGCTTTCCCAGATGCAGCAGCAGAGCACCCCAATGGAGCAGCAGCAGTCTCCACAGCAGAACCAACAACAGCAACCGCAGCTTCCAATGGGCCAGCAGGGCTCCCTGTTCCAGAGTATCCAGAACCACTCCCAGCCTAACACCGTCCCTCAGAGCCAGCTGTCCCAACCCGAGCAGACCGGTCTCTTGCTCTGCACCACAGATCTTAGCCCCCAGGCTATTCCCCCAACTATTCTCTTCAGCACCCAGACACAAGGCCCTTCCCAGATGGGGAGCATTAGCGTTGGAATCCAGCTGCCTGACCCAGCAGAGCCCATGTCCTTCCAGGACCAGAGCTCCTCAGGCGGAGGAAACGTGTCCTCCGCTGAGAACCGGCAGCAAAGCCTGTTCCAGGAACAGCAGCCAATGCAAGTGGGACTAAGTTCCAGCAGCCCGCAGAGCAGTCAGCCTGTGGAGCTGTTCCTGCCTCAGACCTCTCTGTCCAGCCTGCAGAGCTCTATTGGCTCACAGGAGCTGAACAACCAGGCTCCATCCCCTGGCACAACCATCTTTGTGGTCCAGGGCAGTGTGGGGGTGGTAGCCAACCCTGGCCAGCAGCCCCCGGAGCAGCTTTTCCAGACAACAGTGGGTGGAAACGTGGCTCCACAAGGACAGGCCAATCTGTTTGTGTTTGGCATCCAGAATGGTAAATCTCCATTTTTAGTACAGTAAATCCAAGCTAAATGTAAGTCTTGTCAAAGCCTTTACCTGCTGTTTGGTTATAAGGATTATTTCCATTCTCTCTTCCTCCTAGACTCGCCCCAGCTGCTCAGTTCCTCCGGACCCACCCTCGCTGCTCAGGGCCCGCCTCAGAGCTCCAGTCACATGCAGCCTCTGTTGGACCAGCCAATGGGACAAGCTGCCTCCACCATGCCACCTAACATGCATAGCAGCTTACAGAGCACCCTTCAGGCCCAAATGCAGTCAAGCTTAGAGAGCGCCATGCAGACAAACACACAAACAACTCTGCAGTCCAGTTTACAGGCAACCATAGAGACAAGCCTGCCGACTCCAATGCAGACCAATCTACAGACACAGAGTAGCTTACAGAATCAATTGCAGGCTTCAATATCTGCATCGTCCAACATGGATAAATTTGAGGACATACTGGAAAGCCTACAAAAGCAGTGAAAAGTGTTTGGACCATGTTAGCACCACTAAGGAGAGTGAGTGAAATGTAGCCTAGAGTTAAACATCCCTACATTGACCAGAGTGCGTGGTCTATGGTGTTTTGTGCAAATGCCACAAAATGTAGAAAACAATTAGATATTTAATAATTAAATGCCCCTTTACCTAAAACCTCAATTATACGCTCTTGCAATTGTTTTTATTGAATATTTATAATTATTAGAGCCTTCATACATCCATCGTCCTTGAATCGAAGAATCTGCCTTTGTTATTACTCCTCTTGCAGGATCAGAGAGGCCTGTAATAACTGCTTTATCCATCAGTCTCAGAAATGCAGTGTTTTGTTGTTAGTGTTTTTAGTAATATGAGTCTATGAGATGATGATAAAAACACCTACCAGGTTTGGTGGAGAAACTGGAAAGGGATAAAGAATGTCAGCAACAGGGAAACGGGAATAGTATTGTCAGAGTAGGCGGAGCAGATTAAAACAGCCAGCGATGAAGTGAATATCAGATTGTGTCAGATATAAACTGAATCTCATTTTGTGAGTGTAAAAACTTCAAGCCCAATATGAGGGGAAGAGATGTGTTTTTGTCTGTTCATCATGTGAATATCATTTACCTGGCATAACAACAGGGATGAAATATTGTCGCCACTCAATTTAATCTAATGACATGGATCATGTAGGATATTTTGCAGTTAATTAGATCCTGGTTTTGCACATGTCATCAATTTGACTACTCTAAGAGTAGAGACTAACAAATTAAGTACATTTGTAGAATGTTTGCCTCCATAATATGTGCTGCACATGAGCAGACTCTAGTAGAAGAGAGTTTGAGCATTGATCGACTCCACAAAAAATAACTAACTCACCAAAATGGTGATCAGTCAATACATTCTGGTATTGTAGGGGGTTCCCCCATGTGCAAAAAATAAGAGTGACTATCAAACACTCTCAAATGAGATTCAACCTTGTGATAACTGACTTGTCTTTTGGTTCTGGCACCTCCCAGTGTTTTCATAGGTCAAAGCGTCAATACTGGGCTTGCAGAAGCTTTTTGGTCAAATTTTAAGAAGCATTCAACTATGTAGTGTGTATATTTTTTTTGTTTTGAAAAATTGGTATCTTTTACCAATTTAATGTGGATAGAAAGAAACGTTCCACTTGTGAAAATGGAGTGTTGTGTGGTTTTATAAACATTTTATCTCAAGCACTTTATAACCTCTAGATAATCCTTATATTCGTCCACAGCTCTCTACTGACCCAGCTGAATTTGTACTCGGAACTATCCAGTTAAAAAAACGAAAAAAGTAACACAGCAGTTGTCTTTGTAAAGGTAAATACATCTTAATCAAGCATTTTTACATTATTTTTTAGGTCTATGACAACTTTGTATAGGATGTCTACTCACTGTTGAATTCCTCTTTGTATTCAGTCTCAGTGGTCCAGTCTAAACAAACAGCCATTCCCACAAAAGCATTGTCAATTTTCAGTGTTGGAGTGGTAAGTAGGCCTTTGTGTTTTACACTGACACAACACCCTAAAATACTGATTTGTTTTAGTTAGTCCATGAAATTAAGGAGTTTTCATCGTATTGTTATTTGTACTATTTACTGTCCAATCTGTCACTTGAGACTGTTTTACCTTGTGTTGTGTTAGATATTTAAGTTTTCGTCTCAGTGTTGGTACCGTGTGAAGTTGGCATCCAGTGCCCGTCCCATGTGTTGTGAACGGGCTCACTGGTAAATGAAATCTCTGTTACATAGAGGCCGCCATTTTGATCTATGGTGCTATGTGCAGGAATGGTGGGCACTTCTGATGTGATGTTAGTACATAACAGTTTATACTTATCTCTATAGCACTGACAATAATTGTTAGTTTTGAAGCGGCGTTGAGTCTAGAGCTGGCTGTTGTTGTGGGGTCAGACTGGAGCGCACCCAGGCATACCAAAGCTCCTGTTGTGAATCATCTTGTCTCATTCATGTCCTTGCAAATGCTATCATGTTTACTCATTCGTACTTACTCATTTAAGTTATGTAGCTCTTCCATGGATAGTAATTCAGCATGTTTTTGAGTGCAAGATTTATAAAAGATACGTAAAGGTACTTTGTGTCATGGATCAGTTTTCCTCTAAACATTTCCACCAATTTGATACATTACTCTATTTTTTGATGCAAAATATAACGGCTGTACTTTCCATATCTATAAAAGTGGCCAATTTTGGCATTATCAAAAAGACAATTTTTGAGAATAATTCAAATGTTAGAATAGTGTTGCTCACATATGCATTTGTTTACATTTTCATAGTCATACTATTTTTTTCCTGCAGTTGTTAGTGATCCATTTTAAAGTAACTTATCTTTTTTAGAATTTTGTATCCATGTATCAAAAATGCAGAGTATTTTTGTAAAACTAAACTTTTTGGTTTATGCTCATAGCACAGAATATATCATTGCTGGTATGTTTTCCTGAAATGAAGCGCAGGTTTATTGTGAAGTGTGTGACTGATATTAGTAATGTAATTAAGTGGACATCAAGCAAATATGTTGGAACTTAATTCTACTGTTTATAAAAATGACTTTACCCAACCTGTATAACATAATACATGGGCTAGGTTTTTCTTGTGTGTGTTTGTTTTTTATGTCATGCATCTCAAATGGCACTTTGACTCATCCATTAACTGTAGATCAGGTTAGAGCGCAGTAGTGATGTTTCCAAGCATTCCAGTCCTCTTGGGGAGTTTAAGAGCACATGATGTTGCGGAAGAAGTGCGGAAAAGTAATGCCTCTTAAAGCCATACCAACACAGAAAGCCAACCTGTGACTTCAGTTTCATGAATGTACATTTTACCTCATGGTGTGGACATAGAGCTTGCTCTACATCTAACATCGGACCAATTACAGTTTTAAAGAACATATATTTTGAGGCAGAGGGTGGGGGTGGCACCAACTGTCATTTGTATCACTGTACATTTTGTCAGATTGTTTCGTCTTGGATTGTGGTGTAATTTCATGTTTTTTCACGTCCAGTTTCATTTTGAGCAATCCAGGATGCTCAGTCTGACTCTTCGAATAGCCACTTCCACCTGAAAAAAAACCATGTGAAACATTAATTTAAAAGGTGGTGAAGATAGCACACAAATCTTTACAAAATATCAGTTTTGTCCTTCAGTCATGTAATGAATATCCATGTATATTTAAATGTGAAATATACTGCAGGGGTATCTTGAATTTCAATTGTGATGCTTTCAACAGAACTTTGTGTGCCTTGATAACTTAACTGTTACTCTGCTGTGTTTACTGGTGTCCCTTTTGTGTCATAGCTATTTGGCTCCTTGTCCTTTTTATTCTCTAGGACTGTTGAACATCAAGACACCTTTTTGTGATTGAATCTTTATTTCTAAACACAAGCATTACCATAGCCCATACAGATATATTTTATTTGTACAACATCGTGCAGCTTCACCAGTGAAGTGTCAACTTGTTTGTTACTTTCTGTTGAAAATGTTTTTCATGCCTCATGAGATTTGTACATGTGAGGTAAAAGGGACGAGACCGTGGAGATTGTTTTATGGAGAGCTATCTTGTGTTGATGTGCTTGTCAACATTACTATTGTTGCTGTGAACTGCTTGATCAAAAGGAGCAACCATGATAAATTAACTGTTAATTGTCAATAGTGTGAGCTGTGTCTTGTGTGTACTCGGTTAGCTCACTTTTCCTAGTTCGCTTTCTATTTCACATTCTCCAACAGTTTTGTTGTATCCGTTCTGTGTAGCTTGAGCTTTAGTATCTAGCCTTAAGACCCCGCAGTCGGGATGAAGGTCAACCCCAGTGTGTTATCATACATCTGAACTATTATTAACATGTACTTTGCCTTGGTCTGGACATTTGTATACTCTTCTGTTTATATCTGTAATCCTGCTGCTACATTAAATGAATTAATAAAAATTAAAACGTATTTGTTTTTGTTGTTTATTCCTCGTAAGTAAATAGCTCTGAAAGTTTTATATATTAATCTTCTCAAGCAAATATTGCACATTACTAAATGTACACATGTATTCTTATCTTCACAAGGCTATACATGAAGGAACAACAATTATAAAACACTCTGGCTTCAGGTATTTGTATCGGCACAAATGCATTACAAGCATCAGGACACAGCTGGTCATAGTTTACTCGTTCTTCTGTGTAGAACCTGTTGGAAGAAGGATATTGGATCTTCTGGGTCAAAAGCAACATGAAAGTCAGGTTTTTTCTTGAGAGCGAGGGCAGCGACCAGTATGGCAAACATGGCAGTGAGGCCCCATATGTGATACTGGCTTCCTGAATCAGGGTCCACAAAATGGAAAGAGTGCAGCATCCCCATTGTCCCGGCAACACCATGGGTGGCATAGTGGTCCTTGTCGCTGGTGAAGAAGTCCAGGGGGACAGTGAACACAGCACTGACCTCAGCTGGGTTTGGACAGGGACAAAATGACTCGTCTATGAAGCCAACCACCGGGGTCACCAACAAACCGCTCTGTTAAAAGAGATGAAAATAGAGGTGAGAGGGGGACATGTGAAATAGATGGACCAAAAGCAGCTGATGCGTTTTAAGCAAGCGTCAAACTCTTGGGCAGAGCCGGGAGGCCAATAAGGAAGTGCCTCAAACTGCAGTCCATCTAGTGGCCAGTAGGAGCAGTCTGCAGAATGGAGCAATTTCCATAGACCCCCATGTTAAAATGACCAACTTTAAAGCAGAAATACACATATTTACATCGTGGTTAAAAAAAACATGTTCTCTGTATAGTTAGATTCCCCCTTCACGACAACTGTGTGGGGGGTGCATTGTTTTATAACACAACCCTTTTAGTTATATTAGGTCTTAAAGTGTTTGCATAACTTAGGGCATGGTCACCTTGAGTGACAGGTCTCTGCAGTCACTGCTGCTTCTAGCTTTCTATTCTGTCTCTGCTAGTAGCCTCTGTTAGCTCAGTAAGCTCCAGGATGGTACAGGGGCGAGGCTGATGCGGGGAACACAACTTGAACTCGTTGATGTGTTTGCTGTGTTGGTGCCTGGTGGAGTATTCTTCATTTAAATATCGGATTTATCTTATGGCTCTGCGGTTAAAACAGATCGTCCCTGAATGCAGTTTCTTCGGTAAGTGAAATTCAAGCACTTTATTTCTTACTGGTCTTTGTTCATGGAGGATGAGGGCTTTCTTGTTGAGTGACCGGATGTTAAGGAGGGCAATTTTAGTTGAGTGGGAGGGGGGTGGTGTGGTCACAGGCTGAAGAGGTATGAGGTTGTCCAGGTTGACAGTGCGGGGGGGAACATGAGATGGGGGGGGAGGAGCGGAGTGGAGGTGGAATGAAGTGTGTTATTATCAGTGGTTGAGGGCTGTGAAGTCGACTCCAGGTAATCGGATCATCTCTGAGTAGAGGGCAGTGGAATCCACTCCAGGTATATGGACCATCTCTGAGCAGAGGGCAGTGGAATCCACTCCAGGTATATGGATCATCTCTGAGCAGAGGGCAGTGGAATCCACTCCAGGTATATGGACCATCTCTGAGCAGAGGGCAGTGGAATCCACTCCAGGTATATGGATCATCTCTGGGCAGAGGGCAGTGGAATCCACTCCAGGTTTTCGGTACAGCTGGGATTGTAACGGACCAGTGGTGGGTGTATAGTATGGAGTAACAAAGGCGCTCAGATGACATGACCGTTGTGGGACATAGCGGTTAGTCGACCAGATAGATGTTATGGATGATTGTCCGGACTGGGAGTAGGGCTGAACGATTAATCGATTTTAAATCGAAATCGCGAGTTTTTTTAAACTTTTTTCTTGTGTGTCAGTCATCCACACCAATCAGAAGTGCTGTGCTCCACATGTACCAGCCATTGTTAACCAATCAGAAGTGGCCCATGATAGAAGGTGGACAGATTGATCCAATCACCTGTATTAAGTATTAAGTATTTTTGAAAGTGCCTGCCCTTTCCAAATGGCTTCCAATGGAGCTTTCCTAGATGGTTTGGTGAAACTTCTTGGAAGTTATCTTAGTACATTCAACTGCACAGCACGACATTTTAATTGTCTGGTATTTGTAACAACATTCCCTAAAAAGGCACAATCACGGCTAAAGGGTCAAGTACAGTAACTACAACTAGCTAACGTTGTAGCCTAGCAGAGTGGACAAGTTGCTGTTAGCTGACAGTGAGGCACGTACCTGTCCATCAAAGTGACCACGCCCTAATTTATGCAAACACTTTAAGACCTAATATAAATAAAAGGGTCGCGTTATAAAACAATTTACTCAACAATTAATAATCATTAAAGTGGAATCTAACTATATCCCCAATAATTTGTATTGCATCCAGGGGTAGAAACATGTTTATTTCTGCTGTAAAGTTGGGCATTTTAACATGGGGGTCTATGGAAATTGATCCTTTCTGCAGTCATCGCCTATCGGCCAATAGATAAACTGCAGTTTGTGGCACTTCCTTATTGGCCTCCCGGCTCTGCCCCAGAGTTTGCCGCTTGGCTGGAGCAGGCGGGAGTTAGACTCTGACGTCACTGTCGAGCCGTTAGTGGCCGACACCGCCTACTTTAGGCTTCTCGGCAACTCTGCAGAACAGTCAATAGGCGCTTTGCCATACTTAGTTCATCAGAACTCTTTAGTTCTGATGAACTAAAGAGCAGATCGCGTTCACACCGGAATAAGTCCCTGAGGGAGGATTAGGCAAATGAAGCCGCTGACGTCACTTCTTCTGCTTTGGGTTTACTGGCAGGCCGCAAACAACTTCACAGCGTATACTGCCACCCGAACTCCCCGGCCGGAAGTCCCCGGAGTTGGGGACTGGCTTCAGTAGAAGCTGCTGGGAGTCTTCCCAGCAGCTTCTGAAGCCTTCCGAGTAAATCGCCAGAAACGCCGACACCTCCTTATCTCCACCACTCCCATGTTTTATTTTGTGTTGCCATAAGTTAGTCTCTCTCCGTTTGTGCGCTGGGCTAATGCTAATGCTAATAATGCTAATGCAAGGAAAATAAAATGGCGGCTTCACAAAACTTTTTGGAGTTTTTAATCGTTATGTACTTTTATATTACGCTGTAACAGGATCTAGTGATATCCAAGCAACAGAGCTTCATTTAGCATGAAATAATTATTGCACTGTATATATATATAAATATACACAGTGCAATAAGCTTCTTAGTGCAATAAGAAGCTACAGGGACGTTAATCTACGTCGGTAATATTAACTTTATTTAATACAACATTTACGGTACAAGATTTAATCATACAGCCCATTGAGTATAATATTTACAAATGATGAATTACAGCAAACATGTGCAATATATCCATTATTACAGCTCCGTGGGCTGGCAGTAAGGCGATATGGGTCCGTTCTTATTGTGCATCCATGGGTAAAGATAAACGCATGTAGTGCTGAACACGTAACATGAACGTGCCGGGCGGCGCGGTCCCGTGGGTTAGATGCGCGTTCATAATGCAGAGGGAAATAACTCTCAGAATAACGTTATTAGCACATTTTACAACTTGAGGAACGAATGTTTTTAATCGGCCGTGGTTTGCAATCCGCCCAGCCAATCAGAAATGGGAACCTTTTTCTCCCATGAAAGTACCTGCTCTCTAGCAGGGACTGAAAAGGGGGTGAAAAGGTTCTCATGAACTAAGTTCTAGTTCAGTTTTTTTTTGTTGTGAACGCACATTTTCGGAACTATATCGGAACTATACTGGGAAAAGTACTCCGGTGTGAAAGCGCCTTATGTGCAGAATCCTATGGGTGACGTAACGGACACTACGTCCATTTATATATACAGTCTATGGTTTGAAGGGGTAATTATTTGCACTGGCCTACCTTATTGATGATAGGGACCAGTCTACAGACCACCTGAACATCTTCAGGTGGGAGACCTATCTCCTCCTCGGCCTCTCTCAGAGCTGTGTCCACATCATCTCTGTCACTGGGGTCTCTCTTCCCACCCGGGAAACACACCTCACCAGCACTGGTCCGCAGCTGCAGAGACACAAAAGGACTGTTTTACAGCACTGCATGCATAGCACAAAGATATAATAGAAAATTAGAAATTCAAACAGGCTTTACCCCCAGGCTACTCTTCTGTTGTGTTTATTTCTCAAAATGTTCTTTGATTTTCAGAAAACTATAAACCAGCCGTTTATTTAACTGGTCCCAACATTTGTATTGTGTTATGCAATGGACTCAATCAGAGACTATTCAACGGAGGCATAATACTCTTATACATTTAGATCAAAACAGTTGACAACAGGCTCTCTGAGCTGAGTACACCCACACTTGACCCTCACTTGTTACCTCTTTTGATCGCAGGGTCATCATGGTGTGCAGCTCTCCATTCTTCACCATCAGTGGGATCAGCACTGAGGCTTTGGGTAGCACCGGTAGAGAAGAGAATTTGTTCCCGATGTCAAACTGCTCTAAAATGGCTATGATGTCCTCTTTAACATGCATTGTAGCAGCTGTTTCAAAGCAGAAACAGAGTGGAGGACAGGAAAAAAGGACTAACGGACAAACTATGTAAAAATACTCGAGTACAGCATGAAACTGCGGGTTGTCAGGTCCAATGGAGTCTAACAATCACATATTAACTAATGTCTGGTAATCAGTAACTATGCAGCATGCAATGAACAAGTTAGTTTATCATAAATAAAACTTGAAATAAAACTGAGGTCCATTCGTCCCACATATTCTACGTCACACGGTGGACTGATAAGCTAACGATAGCATGAGGAACTGATGTTAGGCTAATGTTAGCAGTACGTGGTATCTGGGATAACAAATGTAACTCTAACTAAAATGTCTTTAAGGGTCATTTCGTGACTTCCCGTATCATTCGACAGGTAAGTCAAATATATCACTTCCGAGACGTTTCATAACAATCAATCGTCACAGTGTGCGACGAACACAGCCAGTTAGCCACAGGCAGAGCCCTATATGGCGCTGGCCACAGGCATTGTAGTGACGAATTTGACGTCGATTTCACATTTGCATCTCAAAAGTAAAAACGAGTCTCATAAATAGGAATGCAAAGAGTATCACATGGATTAAATGGAAATTGAGTGCCATTTTCACTTAAATATGGCTGTATAGAAGCCACAGTTAAGTATTTTAACATAAACATAAATATAACTTCAGGGAAAAGTGAAAAAATACAATCTCAAAACTAAGAATCAAGGTTTCACAAGATTTGTATTGCTGTAAACAGGTCTTCGATGAAGAAATCTGATATGAAATAAAACATAACGTTACAGTAGGCCTACATTCCAAGTCAGTCATATTATGGCATAATGAGAGGAAATATCTGCATTATAAGTCAAAAAAACATTACAATTAATTGAAGGCTACTTACATTTTACTGACAGCTCACTTAACATAAAGCAGTAATTAGCCTGAGACTTGTGACTTGAACAAATAAATGACATTCTTCTTTCTATCTCAAAGATAAGACAGCAGGCAGTCTATACACATGTGAATAAATAAATTTAAATGTAACAACCAAAATATGTGTAGTATACATAACTGATCCCATGTATTTTAATTAAGGGAGAAAAAAAATGTTCTCTAAGTTATTTACAACCCACATGTCACATTTTGTGGATTTGTATGTAGAAAAATAAATAAGTTTCAAAACACAGCAAAGCTAATGATGGGCATCACAGTGGTCCTAGTCTTCATTGATATCAGCCATCGACTCTCCAGCACTTCTGCTCACACTTTGTACTTCTCCTTGGCTTGATCATTCAGTATACAGATGTGCTGTGAACAGGTAAAATAAATCAGTGGACAGTGCATGTTTTTTCATTACATTCTCTGTACAACAAATCACCTCTGGCTGGCAGAGAAATCACCTCTGGCTGGCAGAGAACTCTCTGCTCCATAGTTTCTCTTGGAATAAAACCACATTGTACATTTTACATTTATATAATCTGTTCTATATTTAATATTCCATCTGTCATATATTTATGTATATATACATAATACCTTGTTAATTCAACATGTATATTTTCTACTTTCTTGTTTATTTCTAGTCTTTGAATTTTTATTGTACAATGCCATGTCTTTTTTGTGCTGCTACAACGTAAACATTTCCCAAATTGGGATCAATAAAGTACTATCTTATCTTATAGTTCATTATTTTGGTTTTTATTTTTAAATTTGACTTTTTGTGCAGTTGCTGCACAAGTGAGGGCACTGAGGTCACGTCCTGTTTAATTTGTACTACTTAAAATGTACTTTTTCTAAGATTATTTTTTTTTAAATAAATGAAGTGTTTGGTATCACTCCATCACAATACATTAAAAACATGCTTGATTTGAGCCAGCTGATAATGGAAACTATTCTTTCAACAAAACAGTTAACTAAATTGGCATTTTGAAACTGCAAATATATTATACTATGAGAATCAGTGAACAACTGTATATGATGAAATGATAACATGGCATGGGTTATCTGTCCTCATACCCCTTATCTAAAATCATCTACACCAGCAAACTTACACTGAGATCTCTGAAGTACTCATTGTAGTCCAAAGCATAGCCCACCAGAAAGGAATCTGGCACCTCAAAACCAATATCTGAAATAAAAATACAGACCATTACTACCACTGTGAGGCACATAAAAAAAACTGCTTATTTAAAGTGCAGTGGAAGTTAAACTCTCTCAACTCTACTCGCTGATCTAAAATGAGATGCGGAAACATTTACTGTGGTCTGAAACTCTGTGGCGAACTAATAGATGTTGCTCTTTTAATGTCTCTGAGGTTGTACTTAAGCTGTCACAGCTAGTGGGAAGTCAAAATGCTTACAGTAACAGCTGTCCTTAAAGGACAATCTTAAGGGGATTATACAACACAGACCTAAAATCATTACATAATCAGAGACGGTGTGAGCACAGGGGGTTATCAGGAATGCATTAGTGCATAAGTGCCAGGCTCGGCTACATTTGGAGTACATTTTCCGGAAATAACTGTTAATCCTGCATGGAAAAAACACAGTTTGATTAAATAACACTTCTCCAGCCCTTCCAACAAACAAACATACAGCTCTGGAAAGAATTAAGAGACCACTGCAAAATTATCAGTTTCTCTGGTTTTACTATTTCTAGGTATGTCTCTTGATTTTTTCCAGAGCTGTTCATGTGAGCATAGCATGATCACTGCCATACAATACTAAAATCCATAGATAACTTAGTGCAAAGCGAGGCACTCACAGTCTGGTCTGTACCCTGAACTCCTCGGGGTCCTCTTCACCAGAAGGCTACAATTACAAACAATGAAAATACAGGATATAAAAAACAAAGGCTCTGTAAAGGGAAATTGACATGCTAAAAAGAAAGAACAATTGTCACCACGACATATTCAGTGCAAGTTTTAAACCCGACTGATTGGTACACCCGCACAACATCTTAATTAATGCCTGCCACAGTTCAAGATCAACCTCTTTGTGTGAAGCTTATTTTACACGTGTGGATGCAGAGTAAAGGCTAAGTGGGGCCAATAAATAGAGGTTGCCTGTCCTAAAGCTTAACTCACAGAAAGAAAGCGTTCTGTGAGAGTAAATGATTGTCTTTCTCTATATGCTATGTGTGTATGTTAGTGGCCCTGACCTATCAATGGTCTACTTTGCATCTTGCCTAATGTCAGCTGGGATTGGCTCCTGCGAAGTATAGGCGGTTGTAGCTAAGGGATGTTCTTTCTGGACGTATGATCTAAGCTCAACAGCCCTATCATTTTACATAAACAAGGTTCAGAATAGTCTCAGAAATAGCTGTTTACTGTATTTTCACATCGACTTTAAGCTTTTGAAATATAATCCTTCAATTATTTTAGCACCACAATTACAATTTCATTCAGCGCTGTTGTTTTAGTGTGGCAGCAGAAATGTGAGCAGGTGACGTTGCAAAGCCTCAGCTCGAAGAGGAACTATTTGCATGGCGTCATACCACAATGACTAAGTAGAATAATCGTTTTTTTCAGTGTATGAACTGAGTAAACTTGCCATTTAAGAATTGTATTTATAGTTCAGATAATAATTGTTATTCAGCAACATATTTGCTAAGTATAATTATAGGGTGAACATCAAATCAATTCAAATGAGCCTACCCATACACAGTAGATCAAACCAAGACAACTATCTTTTATGCAAGCATCATAGGAAACCCACATTACTTCAACACATTTCCTGTTTCAACCAGCTGTCGGGAATACATCAGAGAAATGGACTCTACCTCCACAGTGCAGTTAAATTAGTGCGACAGATTAACTCTTAAGCTGCTCCCTCCCTCCGTCACATTACATCTCTAATGCAGTCCTAAAGGAGTGTCCATTAGCTAAGAGCACTGTCTCTATAGACATGTTACAGTGGAGGTATACAACTTGGTCTGTAAAGTGTCTAACGGTGCCTACCTTACAACTTTAACCATCTTGGGATTGCATTCACTCAGCAGGGAGAGTAGCGTCTGCATGGTTCTTCCTGTCTCCACGATATCCTTTTTATAAAGCAGGACACAGTAATTGGTTACATTAAGGTGGAGGCAAACACACACAAAAAAATCCTCAGTATAGAGCCTCAATACAGAATAAAGAAGAAAAGGTCTTACTTCGACAATCAAAACGTTCTGTGGGGGGAAAAAGGACAGTAGATAAGGTATACAATTATATAACGTGTGCAGTTGAGGTATTTCTGCCTGAAAAATAAACAGTAGACCAACCTTGCCTGAGAGACTGGACAGCTCATCCCCTCCTATGACTTTGACACTCTTTGTTGACTTGTCGTTCTGGGGAATACAAAGCAAAAACGACATTATCCATCTTAGTTTACAGATTCGATCCTTATTACATAAAAAGGCTGAACAATTCATCTTAATTAGGTTGACATTATTGTGGTGCTCCAGAAATGTCACTTATTGTATTCTACAGGGGGAAAATATATATATTTTATACAGATTCTCACCAAAATAAATCCAAATGTGATCATTGTAATTTGAGAGGGATGATAAAAAATGATCATTCCCTCCAATATAGTGAATTATATCACAAACGCTTTGAATACTGCAGAGGAGATTTTTCTCATTTGTAACTCCGTATCGCACACCTCACATCATCAGAATTGGTTCTTGGTAAATAAATGGGCAGAGGCAGCTTACACAGTAACTCTTCACCCTGATGAAATCCACTGTCAAGGGGACTGATTTATCGCTGTTCTGGTTCAGGGCTTTGATGTAGTCCAGCAGGTCTGCGAAGAACTTGTATCCTCCTTTTAGCACACACAGAGCTACGATGTGATGTCCCCCCATGTCCTGGATAATATCCCGGGCAAGACGCTCTGTCCTGGGTGGGGTAGGTGGTAAACACAATAGAGTAAAGTCAGGGAGGGAGAGGAGGAAACAGTAAATACAAATTCAATGGTGACTGCAGTACAGTATTGGCCGAGGGGAGATGCCTTACATGAAATTGCACTTAAACCTAATTGCCTACAATGCATTTCACAGCACTGCACTGGATTCAACCCCCACCTCCCAAATCCACATTCAAATGAGCTTCAGGATGTGGGCTAAAGTGATTTGTCAAACAAATACAGTAAAGTGTACTTAGCACAAACCAGTATGTGTGTGTGTCAGAGAGCCTGACGACTTGACAGAAATATGACTTGTTTTCATTGTATGGGGGACTTACCTGTCCATAATGAGTCCATGGGGGATGATCACCTTTTCCAAATCGTTCTCATAATGTCTGGGGACGCAGAAATGTTCCAGATCATAGCCTTTCTCATCATCAGCGATCTGGAAGAGGAAGAAGCAGCCTCTTCAACAAAAACTGTTGGCACTGACAGATAACGTTTGATCACAGTGAAGCCTCTCGGCCACCTGTTTATCCCCGCACACACATGACTTACAATTTATGGGACATCAGACGCTCATGTGGCGGAGCGAAACACTTACATAATGATTGCAAAGCTAATGCCACCTGCCGTCTATCAAACAGGCCTACGGTGCAGAACCACACCCTGACAATTAACAAGTTATCAAATAAACAAACCCCCCAAACCCAGCAGCCTCACCTCCAGGAACGAAGCCATGTTGC